AAAAAAAAAAAAGCCCAAAAGCCAGGGGGTCTCGCCATGTTGCCCAGGCTGGTGTTGAACTCTTGGATTCAAGCAATCCTCCCACCTTGGCCTCTCAAAGTACTGGTGAGCCACTGCACCTGGCCTGCCTGGAGCCACTTAATGAGCTTAACCCAGGTTGGAAACGTCAGTATCTGCCACTTCTTCATCTTTGCTCTCCTTTCCAACCAGCGCCTTTTTTGCTCTGACCTTTGGGGTGGCTCCTCCTTCTTTCCATTTGAAGGTGACATTCTAGGCCATCAATTTGCTAATGCCATTTTAGGGGCTTTGGAGAATCAAAGCATCGTCCTGCCCATCACTCACTAGGAACTGTGTGGAAATGGCTCTTCTGGTAGCCCCTGAACCGCACCACACAGCCCCTCACTGCCTTTCCTCGCTCCCTTCATTCTCAAAGCAGCTCTGCCTCCCTGCCCCCATCCCACAACTCCCTGCGGAATTTCCCCAGTTCTTTTTGTTCTTATTCTTTTACACTGGAAAGGCAAACACACATAACAGCAGCCATGTCCAGGGTGATGGCTGATGTTACAGTGAACACCGGTGTGCATCCACCCAGGGCCTGACAGAGGGCAGTGCCACTGTCACCTGGTGTGCCTGGCCTCACTCCAGACCAACAGAACTGCACCCAGGCAAGTGAGGCACTAGTAGGAGGGTGAAGTGATAAAAATGGGGTCACACCTGGTACATGGCTGCAACAGGAGTAGTCAGAACAAGAAATCTGGAGGGAAGAAAAAGGGAAGTCACGGAGAGCATGCTGAAGGGAAGGGAGCCAGGCAGAACCTGGAGGTGCTGAAGTAGGGAGTGGGTTGGAGAAGGAGTGGGGAGACAAGACATGGGGCAGCAGCAACACCAGGGCTGGCCAGGGCAAGTAGCAGCTGCGAACTGAGAAGGGAAAATGCCACTTTGGGAGGGATGGAAGATTTCCCACCTGGGAGCTCGGGGACTGGCAGATCAGGAGTCTCCTGGTGTTCCTCATCGTCTGTGTTCTCATCTGTGGAGCCTGCATATGGGTCTTCCCCGTTCTCCTCCTGGCCAGGGGGTGATCTGTGTTCCTTCTGCTCAGCCACCCTGGGGGGTCCAAGAGGGGTAGAGAGTGAGCATGCAGGGCAGCCTCTCCTACACCCAAGGCCAGGGCCACCCCAACCCCCAGCCCCAGCCCTACCTCCTCAGCTCATCTTCTGTGTCCCCAGAATCTTCCGCCCCGTTGTCCTGTCCTTCTGCAAGTAGAAGCTCAATCAATGCAAGGCTGCCTTGTCTCCTGGGAAGATCGGCAGCCCTCCCAGTATGGCAGACCCAGGCATCTCATGCCCCCAGCTGCAACTGCCCTCCAGATCCAGTCATCCAGACCCCAGCCCCTCCTCCCTCAGACCCAGGAGTCCAGGCCCCCAGCCCCTCCTCCCTCAGACCCAGGAGCCCAGGACCCAGCCCCTCCTCCCTCAGACCCAGGAGCCCAG